TGGCTGTGACAGCGGGAGTTGGGACAGAAACTCCTCGCTTCTCCCACGTGGATGGCAGGGGACCAAGCCATCTTCTCCTGTCTTCTCAGATGGATTAGCAGCTGAATCTGAGGTGGAACAGTCAGGACTCCAACCAGTGCTCCATTCAGTATGGAATTCTGGATTTGTGAGCAGTGGCTTAATGCACTGCACCACATGTTGTTCCCAATATGTGTGTTTCTGTTTTCTGCTGTGTTGTACCTTATTTTTTTTTTTCCTGTGACCTACTTGGATTTCTAGCTCACATCCCTTATTTATCTAAAAAGGATAAATTGAGATGGGTAATTTCTGATGTGTATAGACCAGTTCACTGGATCTGCAACCCCTTCGTTGATGAGGTGCTAAGAGGTCTGGGGGCTTTGGAAAGAGGCTTCCAAATCTTGGCACGGCTTGCTTGCAGGCCTCATCTGGCATCTGCTGGAATGTAACGTGGGGACCACGGCCTGGTCCTGTCGCTGTTGCCTTTCTGCTGTTTCTTCTGGGCTGGTGGTCACACTTCACGTTCCTCTCGAGTTCACTTGGGAACAAGGCAAAGGTCACAGCATCACGTTTGAAAGGGGTTGCAGCTTATCCCACTTCCCCTGGAGTCCAGCTTGAGGTTGACAGAGTCCGTGCCTGCTCCAAGTCTCACTTGGATGCCTTTGCTCTGTGCCCAGGCTCAGCAAGTCTAGGAGGGGGGCATCTTCCATGCCCTGCTTCCTTCAGAAGGGGCCACTCCGGGGTCAGTGCCTGCTTTGTATCATCAGGCACAGGAATGGATAAAATTAGTGTTCCACGGTGCCAACCTCAAGCATTTGAAATTTTTTTTATTGTAACTTTGCATTGGGGTCATTTTCACATGAGATCACAGAATTTTTGTACTTGGCCGTCACAATAATCATTTTTAGTGGCTGAACAAAAATCGTTCATTGAGTGGCTAGAGCATATAATGCCGTTAACCGTTCGCCAGTTGTCTGGGAATGTATTTCCAATTTTTAGCTATCACACATAATACTGTCATAAAAGACAGTGAATTTTTAAAGAGCTTAGACAAGAAGCTTGAGAATACAATTTTATAAAATGGCTCTGAACTCAGGTGGGCAAAGTGATTGCTTGTTTGAATAATAGTTACAAGTGGGTAGTGCCCACTGGCTGTTATGTTGCTTTTAAGGCCATAGGTAATTTTGTACTTGTAGGGTTTAGATTCTTACCCAAGGGGATTGCTGTCATTGGCACAACTCTAGTGATATGACAATACGTTGTGGGAGATAGGGATTAGAATCATCAGTGGCTGAGAACTGATGTCTTTATGGGTTTGATAAAGGAGGTTAATGGAACATACTCTTACAGAATTTCCACTTCGTTGGCTTACATCCAACCACAATTTGTTGTTTGAAATTTCAGAGCCTTTTTTGCACAGTAGTGGAATTTTACGTCATTTCTGCCAGATTGCTGAACATGGTTTAAAATATCCATCCCTCAGGAAATTGAAAAGCTGCTGTGTCATAAAATAGCAAAGGATTTTGGTGTAGACCTGAGAAAGTCCTAAAAAAAACAACAAAAATGTGATCAGTCTGGCTTCTACAAACCCAAATTCACCAGAAGATATCATAATGTTTTTATAGAACATTTCTCAGTGTCCTACACATAGTTGGCATTTTAAAATCACTTTTGCCTTCAAAAAGTGCAAGGATAAAATGAGCCCTCTCTTACAGACTGTCCACAAGGATTTGGTGTCAAAAGCCCACAGTATCACTTCCAAAGGTGTTCCAACAAGTATAAAAAATGATGTAGATGCCTAAGTATAAATATTAAAATGTTTTATTCTGAATGGTAAAAAGTCTAGAAATACCTTACATACCTTTCAATATAGAGGTTGTTCATTTATAAAGGCTTAGTTGAAATACAGAGAGACAAAGGGAGACACATACATAGTGAAGAAAAAGAGAGATGTCTTCCATTCGCTAGTTTACTCCGCAGATGGCCACAACAGCTGAAACTGGGCCAGGCCAGGATCGTCCTAGTCTCTCATGTGAGTGGATGGTACCAGTATTCTCCGTCTGCCCAGGCACACTAGGAACATGCTACATCAGAAGTGGAGGAACTACAAGTCCAACTGGTACTCTGATATGAGGTTCTGTTGTCACAGGGAGTAAACACTTGGCTGTCTGAGCTGGTTTAAATGTGAGCATATAGATCAATGATAGGACACTGTGCTTCTGTTGTTAGAAATGAGTCATTCTGCATATCCTGATGTGGAAGGAATTCCAGGGTTTACTGTTAAGTCAAAAAATAGCATTCGCAAAAGTGCTTACAGATTTTAACATTTGCACCTAAGGAAAGAGCACTTATATATGCCTGTAAATTCAAGTAATGTGGATAAAACTGGTAACAGGATAGAGTAGAGGAGCTAAGGACTTTGGACTGAAGGAGAGTCCCCTACCACTCTCAGGGTTCCCTTTTTTGCCTCTTACACTTTGTACTGTGAGTGGATGTTATCCAGTGGAAAAAATGTAGTTTATTTGGTGGTTTTTCAAGGTCTAAATATAGAGTGACCCTATAACCCAGCAATTCTAGTTCTAAGTTGAAAAACTGAAGCCAGGGACTTGACAGCTACTGTATGACAGTGTTAGTCATGAATGTCAAAACATGGAAATAAGCCAGTGCCCACCCATGAAGCAATGTCGTATATATATGCCATGGAATGTCATTCAGCCATGGAAAGGAAGAAGCTTCCAGTATATACCAAAACATGGTGAACCATGAAGGTGTTGGGTTAAGTGAAATAGAGGCGAAAAATGTCTGCTTACATGCACAGTCTAGAACAGATAAATTCATAGAAACAGGAAGTAGACTGGAGGTTACCAGGGCCTGCAGGAAGAGGAAAGAGGGTCATTATCATTTAATAGCCCCAGAGATTTTGTTTGGGGTGATGAAAAACCTTAGGTAGTAGAGAACCTTGATGGTTACACAACATTGTGATTCTAATTAATGTCAAATAATTGTATACTTAATGATGACATGCTCATTTCGAATACATATGTTTTATCACTTACACATTTTTAAAAATGCAGTATAAAGGGAAAAAAATCTTGTTCAGCTTAACCTTTTCCTTACCAGAGGCTTCCCAAGAAAGAAGTATTCTTCCAGCCTGCTCTTGGTCTAGCTGAGGACATAGCACCAAGTATATCCTGGGCGAAGGGGTCCTGAATTAGGGGCTGCCAAAAATCAAAGGCAGGGATGCGTATAGCCCCAAGAATCTCCGGAGCTTTTCAGATAGCCTGGACAGCAGATTTGTGTATCAGCAATTGGGCAAAGTAGGAAGGGTACAGGGCAGGGTGTGGCAGGGTGTCTTCTAGGTGCAGAAGCAATATTACTGGGTGGTTTGACAGAAGAAATCACCTGTAAGGTGACCAGGAAGAAGTAGGATTCCTTATAGGTTGAAGGCAGATGGGCCCTGTCTCTTGGTAGGAGCTGTATCTTTGAGCAGAGGGCAGTAGCTTCCTGTCATGGGGATGATGCATGGGAAGAAGCATGGGAGGATTTTAGCATAAGATGAGTCTGGATAAGCAGTTGAAGTCAGTGATGTCCTTTGTTGACTGGGGTAATTCATTAGGACTTCTAAGTTCTGGCTGGGAAAATAGCTTAGATCTTCTTTCCATTCCTTGACAATAGCCTGCTTACCATTTAGGGGTATAAGTCTTTCATTTTATCAAGCAGAGATCTTGAGTGAGTTAATGCTTTTTGTTGTTTTCTTTCCAACTCAAACTGTGTTTGCCATCTAGTGATTAATCCATGCCATTACAGCAACCTTCCTAATGTGCCTTGCCTTTCAGTGCCAAGCCAAGCTCGCAGGCCTCCAAACTGCGTTCTGCTGGCAGGGACTTCTACCCTGAACTTCATTTGCCATATGTCCTCGTTCTGTACATTGACCTTCAGAGTCAGGAGGGATGAAATCTGATCCCTCGGAGTAGTACTGTTATTCGCATGAAATAAGCAATGTTAACAATACAGAGGAAAATGAGTCTTAGCCGTTAAGACCTAGGAATATTTTAAGAAGGATCAGAATGGAAATGAACCAGTAGTAACCTTCTGTGTGACGACAGACTTCTCAGCTATCCTATGGAGACCCAGTGACCAGAGTGGACCCCCTCATCTCTAGGCTGTCTCTTAGAGAAGGCCTCTCCAGGATGTGAGCAGTTTTCATTCCAAATAAGCATTACCTATTTGCACATTTCTCCAAGGCTCTGACAATAGGTATGCATTCAGCATAGGAAGCTGTAATGTCCTTGTTTGATCATTATACTATAGGCAGAAATACTTTTCCTTTGGGGATTGTCATCAACAATGGGAGGGTAGGCAGAGAAATACTGCGCTGAATGCTCAGGGGATTTAAAAATAAATATTAGTCATCTAGGATTCAAAAAGAGCCCAGGATGACATTTTAAGGGGAATCTCGCAGTTCCTGAATGATAGTGACTTCTGTTAGAAAATCCAGAATACCATTTTGCCCCCGAAATCTGGACAGCATTAACCAACAGTTACGAACTCTGTGCCTACTATTTGCTTCTAAGCTCAGTACCATGAATATTGCTTGGTTATCCACAGAACTAATATGCTAACATCTTTTCCAAAACTTTGCTATAATCCCTTTCTCCTTGCCACTTCCATGGCAGTCAACCCATAGGATTTTTTTTTTTTGTCATTTCAAACAAAGGATTATGTTGTAGAGCAAGTGGGTCCTGTTCCCACTTTCCTATAAAGTTCAGTGTAAAGTTCAGGTTTTGTTTTGACAGCCTGGATGGCACAGTCTGGCCTCCAGTTCAGGAGCACCCCACGTCCCAACCCTGAAACAGGACAGAATGTATCAGAAGAAGCCTTTCGTTCAGTTTCTGAAAGCCTGTGAATGGCTTGACTGTCGTTTTTGACTGAGAAGTGATCTATTTTTGGTGAATGTGTTTCTTTGCATCTGACGTCTGCAGGGAGAACCAGAGATACCGGGTGTATGTCGTGATCCCGCTCCTGCCAGGATTTGAAGGAGACATCTCCACTGGTGGAGGAAACGCTCTGCAGGCGATAATGCACTTCAACTACAGGTGCCAACATTCTGAATTGTCTGTCTGCAGCTTTCAATCACTTTGTGCATGGGAGCTGGTGAGGGCAATGGTGGTTATTTCTCCACATCCTTTCCATGGAGCTTTGAACAAATGAACATTTGCTCATTTTACTTTCAAATTTTAGCCTGTTTACTAGTTGATAAAATTCAGATGGAGCCAGAAATCATGAATGATAGACTGGATGTAGGCACAAGCCAAGTATGAAAGACCTAAAATATTTGTCTCTTTTATGTGCATCACTCATCAATCTACCTATGTCAAATAATGATTAAAGTTTTTTAAGCCATGAGATAGTTATAAGCTAGTCTTTGAAATACAGAAAAGTTAAAAAAACTGCTAGTGTGGTTTGATTTGAATGGAGTTAGTTATGATTCTTTTGACAATGAGTTTTTGAAGGCTACTAATAATGACTTCTGTGATATAATGCAAACTCCTATCTCCTAACATTTTAATTCTGTGTTTTGTCACATGTATATTACAATTTTGAGGAGTGTAGTAAGTGCCACTTTTGGTGTCTTTAAAGCAGTGTCCTAATATATTCAGTAGGCACATGTGGGTACCTGCTGGAGTGAGGTCAGGATAGAGAGGAGCACAGAAGGTGAGAGAGGGGCACCTCTGACCCTGCCTCAGGCCTGCTGGACTGGGCCAGTCAGTGGAGGTGCAGAGTTGAGCTGAGCGCTCTGGCAGGATCTGGCTCCTGTTACCAGCTTGCTGACCCAGGGAGAGCCTTTGCAGACCATGGTCGGTAGCAGCAAAGCCATCCCAGAGCCTAGATGTTTTCTAGTTAAGATCTCGTTTTTTTTCTGAACCATCTGTGGTTTCTTATCTGATTAATCCAGCCAACTGTTTTTTGAAGAGGGAAGAGGACAAAGGAGACCTTATATAAAACCTTGGCTGTGTAAGCAGGGATGGTCCCAGGGCCCTGGGCCAGTTGGGATTGGAAGCAGAGGTGCACAGGTAGTTGGGTCTCTCATCAGAGGTTGTGCTATAAGGTCTGGTAACTTCCACTACACTGGGGAATCCATTTGGTGGGATTTCTGGTTTCCTATTGCTTCTTGTTGACTTTTGAAGCCTATATCTGCCTGCCAGAATTTCTGCTAACGACTTGTATGTTCCCTGCCAGGTAATTTTGCCTAGTTACAGTATGGGAGTTTTGATTTATACACTTAGACTCAGGATTTGTCAATTTCTAATATTGTCTGATTTATAGCATAATGAAAAAAGCTTCTCAAGTATTGAAGGCGCTGACACAATACTTAATTGGATTTTATCTGCTGTAATTGTCATTCTAATGTTGGAATATGGTCCCTGATAATTATTTTCTGTGACAATTTTCTTGACTGTAAAACAACTCACTGAAATAACATGTTTGGCTTTTGTTCAGCATCCAAAGGCATAACCTTTCATTATGCAAAAATATCTATGTGCTGGCATCATTTAAAATAATATCACCATTTCCCATGCATAACCGTATTTTTAATTACTTTCACAGAGCAAGCAGATGGAACATAGAGTTTTTATTTTGTCAGTCTTTATAATTCATTGCCTATTATCTTAAAAAACAAAACATTAGTAGAGTCAGTTATTTGAAGCTCGTTTATCACCTTTAAAAAGATTTACCTATTTTTAAATAAGTCTTGTATAATAGTTTTACTTAATTCTTGAATTATTTTAAGTGTTCTGCCCATTCATTGCTGGGGGCAAAGTGATTTTGTAAGTGTACTTATCCATTGAGACATTCTAAATTTTACTTTCGATGTCATTGAATTGTTGAAGATGGCAAGTTCTTTCATAACCCAGCTTTTTAAATAGAGCGTGTCTTTCTGAAACCTAATGGCCATATTTTACCAGAATTTATTGATTATGAAACAACTGTTTTTTCCTGTTAGTAACATGATATTCATGTAATATTTCTAGCTTTCAAAAATGTGTGTAAATGTTCTTATGTAAGCCCATGTTCTGTTTTTTCTTTTCGTGGGCTAGGGATAGACCCATAACGATTACAATGGGAAGTGGCTATTTCAAAACCTTCTTAATTCTTTCTTATTTTACATCTTTTCAGAACCATGTGCAGAGGAGAAAATTCAATCCTTGGACAATTAAAAGCAGAACGTAAGAAAAGTTTTCTCTTCTCCGTGGTTGCTTTTGATGATGAAAGTGGGCTCGCTCTAATTATTCATGGTTTCCGAGTGCGATTACAGAAGTGCATTCGTAAAAGGCTCCCCAATGAGTGCTCCACTCAGATAAATAGTATGTTCTCATTAAATTCGGCAAACCAGTGTTCAAATCAAAGCCCTAAGACTTGGTATGCACAAGTTATTAAGCAATGGGTGTCTTCATAATTTTATTTTTTAAAAAATGTATAAATAGCTGAATAACAGATTTGCAAGGTGTCACAATGATGCTTAATGTTTATTCTCCTTTATCTCCCTATCAAAATCCTAGGGAGTCGTCAGGACAAATGTCATTTTAGCTTTAAAGATGAGACGACACATGGTATGGGGCAAATTTATGCAGCCGCCTGTCAATGTAGAAGTTCTTGTGTTTGGGAAAGGAAGTGTATTGTAAATCCATTTTGCCACCATTTTTATTTTACTAGCCTTTGAGATTATTATACTAGATAGGGGTGGAAAATAATAATAATAAAAGGCAATGATATCTTTCAGTTTTACAATTCTTTGAAATTTTCAAAGGTGCTTTTGTTATCAGAAAAGCCCAGTGGGTACTTTCCTAAGCTTGATATAGAAATAAAAAGCTGGGAACCAGTTGTAGACAGAAAAGTTTACTTGTGAAGGGATCAGGTGAGCAGGGAAGGGAGAAGGAAGGGAAAAGTACCTCCCAAGAGAAAGCTGAGAGATGTGGTACCTCTCGAAAGGAGAGGGGGAGGGAGACGCTAAAGGTGTGAGGAAGGGTCTTGGGCCTTTAAGCCTTCCCTGACCCCTCCTTGTTGAGCAGGAACCTACAGGTAAAAGGTTTCCCATTGGTGTCTCTTAAGTAGTTAGGAAATGGATAAGCAATACTTGTGCCACCCACATCAAGGTGCGGCCAAGATTTCAGCAGGCTTGGACCGTCTCAGACACCCCTCTTGGAATCCCACATCCTACTTCTGTGGGGGTAAGGGGCTACTTCCTGCTGAAATGGGGCATCGTTCAAGTAACGGGGCCTCTGGAGGTGTGGGATCCACAGCCAGGTTGCAGTGACGCTTTCTCATATGTTCTGATTTACCCTTTTAACATAGTTCTTGCATATCATTTATTACAGCTGTGTATGCACTTACCTATAGCTCTCTGAACTACCTCCTGGTATATAGTAGTTGCTCAGTAATATTCCATAATGTTCTGTCCCTGTGTGTACCAGATTCCACAGAACTAATCTGGCCTGACTCAAGTTATCTGGCTTCCAGATCAGGTGGGGTACGGATTGTGAAAACTTGGATGGCCACACCAAATAAACCGAATTTTATACAGAAGACAAGATCAGCTTGATAGGAACCCGTCAGCTGCCAGCTCATCAAAGTTCCTGTTGGCAATCAGAGCAGTGTGACATGGATGGCAGGAAATAGATGATGTCTTGGTATGCAAAGGAGGGCCAAGTGTGAAGAATAGACTCATGATGGGCTTGAGGGCTGGAAGAGCAGGCAGGTAAGGGAAGTGAAGCATCATTAATTCTGAGAGTGTCAGCCCAACTGCCTAGCGGAACAAACTATCACCAACAGGTCTGGAAAAGCCAAAGGGGCCATCCTAATCACATGACCTCATGTGACACCATCCGCAGATGGGATACGAACCCCAAAAATGGTTTTTGTTAGCTTGTTTGCTTCTTGGAGGAAGGCTTTATTTTATTGAACTTCCAACATGGAGTTCACTGGATGATATATGGAAACTTGCGGAGGAAACAGTAGTCCTTCCCAGAGGTACTTTTAGCTTAGAGCACAGATAAAACATCATCAGGAATTACAGAGGAGGAGGGTGTGATCTCAAAGATGTACTTCTTCGTAAAAGCAGTAACAACACTGACCCCCACACACCCACCCCTCCAAAAAACTCACAATCATTCTTTTCAGGCAATGACCATTTACCAAAGGCTTGTAACAATCCAAAGAGTTGGTTATTCAAGAAAAATAGCCAAATATCAATAAAAAAAAAATAGCAAGTCTGTGGCATTGCAGTGCTTAACTTGCCACAGCCCCATCCCCACCCATTCCTCAAGTCCTTAGTGCTTTTAAAAACCAAGAGTTGGAGGAGTTAAACTGGATAGATGTTCCTGTCCTCTGGCAGTTCTCAGAGTCCTGTCATCATAAGACTCATCTGGCAGTACCCTTCCAACCACCACCCAGAGGACTTGTTTATTTCACTGGCTCTGAATTTGCTCGGTGCGCATAGCCTTATCAAAACCAATCAGCAACAGTGATTTGACATCACAGCTGCCTGAGGCAGCAGTAACAATGGAGCAAACCAGAAGCAGATTCAAACCATTGGAGGGGCAGGGCATGGGGAGGACAGCTTCTAGCCCCCTAGCTGAGTCATCTAGTGGGATGCCCCCATCCCATCTGGGGCCTCATTCCTACAATGCTTACTTCACAGTTCCCATTTAACATCTGGCAAATAAGGTTAGGAGATTGCACATGATAACTCCTTTGCTTAATCCCTGCAGCCCAAGTTCTTGGGTCCCTGCCACCCACATGGAAGGCTTGGATGAAGTTGCTGGCTCCTGGCTTCAGCTTGGCCTTTCCCCAATTATTGTGGACATTTGGGAAGAAAATGAACAGATGGAGGATTTCTGTCTCTCTCCTTCCCTTTCTGTCACTCTGCCTTTAAAATAAACAAATGAATCTTTTATTTAAAAAAAAAAAGTATTAAAAAGGAAAGCCAGGGAAGGAGAATTTGTAGTTCCAATGTTATTTGTGGAGCTCTGAAACCCTATGGGCTTGTGTATGTAGGTTTGTTTACGTATTCAAGAATAGTTTCAGAAGGTCCTAAGCTCTCAAACCTCTGGCTGACCTTGAGACTGTGCAAGCAGCGAGTGAAGCCTAAAGTAGAATTGTAAACTGCATGCCTGAGTGTTTAAGGCATGTCTCCTCACCCACCCACACACACACTCACACATACATAACACACACACACACACACACACAGCCCTTTAGGAAAGTGTAAAAGACTGATTAATTCCAAACGTCTAGCAAGTTATATAAAGCGTATTATATGTCTATAATGGAGTCATAAATAACACAAGTAATTTTTGGAAATTCACAAATAATGGGAAATTAAACACATTTCAATAACCCACTTTTATGTTGGGATGCTAGGAAGATTGAGACTCAGAAAGAGAAAGAGAAAAAAAAAAGGAGCAGAGGAGAGAAAAGAGGATGGCAGGGGAGAGACAAGAGGAGAGAAGGGAATAAAAGGAAAAAGAATTAGAAGGATAAAGAGATTTCACCTGTAGGGTTACTCCCTGAATTCCCAAAATAACTTTGCCCAGGCTGAAGCTGGAAGTCAGGAACTCAATCCAGTTGCGTGAGGGTGGCAGGGATCCAGCCTTGTTGCTGAGCCATCACCTGATACTCCCAAGGTACACATTAGCAGGAAGATGAAATTGCAAGGGAAATCAGGACTCCAACCAAGACACTTTGATTGGAGCACAGACACCACGATTGGCATCTTAACTGCTAAGCTGATCACCATCCCTACACATGAAGATATTTATTGTGAGAAATTGATTTAAGCAACTATAAGGAGGATAAGAGGCTCCAAAATCTGCTCGATACAGTTTGAAGACCCTTGAAAGCCAATGGTATAAAAGCTAAGGGAGTCCGTGGTGTAAATCCTGGTACAAGTACAGTCGAAGATCATAATCCAGCTCAGTAGTGAGTGAAGGCATGAACTCTTCCTTTGTTTGCTTTTTGTGCAACACTCAAAGAAATTGCCAAGGAGTTCCACAAGGTCTGCCTTCTAAAGCCAACACCACAGCGCAAGAGGTTAAGCTGATGCTGGAGTTGCTGCAGTTCCAGTCCACCTCCCTGCTAATGGGGGAAGACTGAAGAGCTTGGGCCACTGCACTCACTCGGGAGACCAGGAAGAAGCTCCCGGCTGCTGATTTCAGACCATCCTGCCTCTGGCCATTGTGGCCATTTGAGGGTGTGAACTAATGAATGAAAGAGTTCTCTCTCTCTCCTCTTTTTCCTTCTTTTCCCTCTATTTCTCACTCTTATTCTCTCTCTCCTTCTTCTTCTTCTCCCTCTTCAGCTCTTTCAACAGCAAAAAAAGAACAGTATCCCTGATGAATGGAGTTGCAAAAATCCTCAACAAAATACTAGCCAATGAAATCCAACGACACATCAGAAAGATCATTCACCCAAACCAGTTGGGATTTATCTCGGGTATGCAAGGATAATGCAGCATATATGGGTCAATAAATGTAATGCAACATATCAACAAACTGAAGAATAAAAATTACCTGACTATCTCAATAGATACAGAGAAAGCGTTCGGTGATACTCAACATCTCTTTATGTTAAAAACCTTAAGTTAATTAGGCATAAAAGGATAATTCCTTAACATACATAGTAAAGGCAATATGTGAAAAACCCAGTGCCAGCAGCATATTGAATGGGAAAAAGCTGGAGGTATTCCCACTAAGATCTGGAAACAGACAAGGGTGCCCCCACTCCCACTGCTGTTCCACATAATACTGGAAATACTAGCCAAAGATACAAAGCAAGAAAAATAAATTAAAGGAATACAAATTGGAAATAAGGAAGTCAAATTATCCCCATTTGCAGATGACATGATTCTGTATATAGGAGGGCCAAAGGCTCAACCAAGAGAGCACTGGAACTCAATAGAGACTTTGGCAAGATCGCAGGAGACAACATCAACACACATAAAACAATGGCTGAGAAAGAGGAGACAAAATCCATCCCATTCACAATAATAACAAATAATGTACATACATAAAAGTAAGTCACCTCAGATACCTTGCAGTCAGCCTAACCAAGGACATGAGGGATCACTACAGTGAAAACGACAAAACACTAAGAAATAGAAGAAGACATCAAATCATGGAAAAATCTGCTGTGTTCCTAGATTGGCAGAATCGGCATCACCAAAATGCCT